TGGGCACTGTATTGTGAGCATTTTGAGGAATGTATTATTTGATTAATTAGGTTGGGAGATTAAAAATAACTATAGGAATTTAAATGACATGAAAACATTCCCCATTGCTGTTAGCATCCTAGTGATATTTGTGTTACCCTAACTCAAATCTTCCTATAATCGCTCCTGTAATTTTTTTTCCCCTTATGATAAATAGATGTTCCTGTGCTAGTTCAGGATCTTACAATTACTGCTGCACTACATTTTTATGAAGTTTAGTCTTTGTTACAAAACTAGCAAAGAAGCCAACTAATTTGGCAAATGAGCAGTATTTCATGTCCATCGTCTCTATTTATGTTTTTTTTTCCATGGGTTACTTTTGATTGAAAGCCTTGGTTTCTCATATGGATAGTTCTTCAAATTCACCATTATGTCTTGTGTTCTCATGACTTCACTTTGAAAACCAGTTCTATTTATAGTGCACAGAAGATGTTCTTTTTCCCTTTTACTATTTAATGCACATTATAAACATGTGAGATATTGTTTTGGGCTGTTACTGCCATTCCATTGTTGTAACAAGGTCTGAAAACCCTGTCAGTATGGTATTATGAAGTCAATAAAAGTCAGCAGAGACAACATGACATTATGGGCTGCCAGGATAGAGCTATAGATAATGGTAACACTAGAAGAGGACCTAGGATCTGAGCCCAGGAATTGCACCAGGACTTCAGTCTCTTGACAAAGACCGGGCTAGAGAGGACGCTGGGACTAAAGGATAAATCAAGGAGATAGGACCCAAGAGCAAGCCAACAGTCATGACCAATGACCAAAATATTTGTGCCAACATACTTGCACAGGGGAGATTCCAGTGCCACAGTATGTCCTCTTATATTCCCATCCAAAAAGATCTAATAGCCAGGCTGGACAGGTGGGGTCAAACCAAGGCACAAAGATACTTCCATTACAGGTTGGTAATTGACCTCAGACTGGCCTGAGGGAAGGACAATTCTGCTTCAGAAGCTAATTGGACTGTAGTCTAAACCTTCTGTTAATAGAGGTAATGAAAACATTCTCCACTGCGCTGGAAGGCAGCAGGCTAGTCTAAGGAATGCAGGGCAATTAGATGATACACAGTTCTTTCTTGTAGTTGCCTCCCAGCACCTGCTACCTGAGATGGCTGTACGTAAAGATAAAAAAAAAAAAGGTGGGGTGGGGGGAAATCCAGAGGTTCAAGTTTCTGTATGAGGCAGCTATAGCAAGAAATAGATGGGAGATTAATGGGCTCCATGTTGAATTGTTGGGAATAGCAACCATTTTCTTTGCCTCCAAATGCTGAGCATAATCTAACGATGAATGACTTTTGTGCTCATAATAATTTCAGTTCACCAATTCTATTTGGGACAGACTTTGAACTGCAGATCTCATGACTGAAGCATCTTCCATAATTTAGGGAGTTTTCTTGCTTTTCTTCCCATCCTATATTTTAGAACATCTCATCAGATGAAGAGTTTGGAACAACTTGAAAGTGTTCATGCTCTTTTATAACGTTTTGTTTGATCCTTATGACAATATTACCCAGCTCTGAAGTCCTTCTCCTTTTCTTAACTTTTCATTATTGAGTATGATCGGGTTACTTCAGTGAAATTTCCCCAGTGTTACTTTACTGAGGAAAAAGGACGAATCATCACAATAACCATAACATTCCAAATAGTCCCCATGCTTTGCATTCCCAGTCTGTGAAGGCTGTTTTTTTTTTTAAATGTTCTGTCTGTTTCCTTTCTTTGCCCACACCTCATGTTCACACCTGCAAAACCAGCAAAGGGAGAAAGAAAAACCACACAAAAGGAGAAAGCAGCAACATTCCAGCAGGCCTTGGGTGGCCGCTACAATTCACTAGTTTTTAATAGGAGAGCTTGCATTCCTTCCCAAGGTCAGGAGCAGAGGTTTTGTCTGCTTATGGTGCATTTGGTAAGAACAGAATGAAAGATCTTTCTGCAGCAGGCCTGGGTTGTGGTGAGGAAGAAGAGGAGCATGCTTACACAGGAAGTCTGATGCACGTTATTCAGAAACTGCCAAAGGCTCCAAGCAGAGGAAAGAAAATACAGAGGCATCCCTGGCTATAGTTGTAGAAATTTATCTCCAGCCTCAGAGATTATTCAAATATATATTAGCAATTATTTTATTTATTAAGTTTGTCCCCGCCCATCTCCTCCCAGTGGGGGACTCTGGGTGGCTCACAACTCATTAAAAACAATAAATAAATATACAATTAAAGGAAAAAGTCCAGGAGGCCGACGGTTCAGAGCAGCAATGCCAGGCCTCAAAGGGGCTAGCCAACCCCACACTTGATGACTTCCCTCCCCGCCCCAGGCCAGATGGCAGAGCCAGGTCTACAAATCCCTCCAAAAGGCCAGGAATGAGGGGGCCAATCTCACCTCTGGGGGCAAGATGTTCCAAAGGGCGGGGGCTACAGCAGAGAAGACCCGCCTTCTGGACCCCGCTAGTCAGAGCTCTTTTGCCGAGGGAGTCCAGAGCATGCCCTCTCTGTGTGATCGGATGGGACGGGTTGAAGTCATGGGG